TTTTTTTTTTTATGGAGAAGGAGGGTAGGGTATTGGGAGAGCGGTGCCGTGACTTTGGAGTTTTGCCAATGGAGAGGTTTTGTTGTTGTTGGCGAGTAACTGAGAACGAAAAGTCACAGCTCCTTTAGCAGAGTTGTGACATTATTAATGAAATTTGTTGCGAGATAAGGGTGGTTCACTCGTGGATACTGTTTCATTATAAATACTGTGTGTAAGATTGTGTAGCTTTAGTGCCATTTGAGTGTTGATATCTTCTTTCCTCTTAGTATTATTGTCTGGGTGAAGTCAAGTCATGGAAATTTCCACATTGTCGACATAATGGAGACAGAAGAACCCGAAATTGTAACAGTGAGTGTAGAAAGTCCACAGAGTAGTAGCGACCAGAAAGAACCATGTAGCATTAATTATGCTGGCATGGAAATCGATGAGCTCCGAACACTTCTTGCGGAACTGTTGGAGCAAGAGAAACTTGCGAAAAGTTGTTTAGGGGTAAGGTTATCGTACCATATTTCCTGGATTTCGAGTTTTTTTTTGTCTTATTGTTGTACCATTCATTTGGTAATCTTCTTCAGAAACCTCGACGCTTAACCGGTTTAAGTGCCACTTTGTCGAGGCTTAAAGAGCCAGGTGCGGTTGGCGATGAGGAAGATTTGAGAAACAGAATCGTTTTGGACAAATTTGGCCATAGAGTTGAAAATAAAGATGTAGAACTTCCAAAACCTCGCGCATGGGCTTACCATCCTGGCATTATTCGCCCTCCAGGTTAGTCATCAAGTATATAGTACATCCTTTCTTTTGACTGAGCTACTATTTGAAAGGAAGTTTTAAACTTGTTTTATTTGATGAGATTAGTTTCTTTGTGATATTTGATTCAACACTCTTTTTATGAGATTAATTTCAAGAGGAACGTGAGTCAAGCCCGCGTCCGATTCGCTTACAGGATGGGATTTTATTAAGTGATCTTCCGCCTCCTCCTCCTCACCCCAGTGATCCTGAAGAAGTGCGATATTTTTTGGGAACTATGAGGTTTAAATGGCAATCTTTTTCTATGCTTATTTCAAAGTTATTTAGATCCGCAAATTAATCCGGAGCAAAATGATTCGCTGTAAGCGTTGTAAGAACCGTTTTATTGAAAAAAATATTTATGAAAGGCACTTACGCGATAAACATTTGGTGGAGTACATTGCTTTTTTGATCCAGCAAGAAGAGGAAATAGCTGCGCAGAGGTAATAATGATACTAAAGCAGTGAATTTTTTAGGGCATTTGTCTCCTGTATGTTATTCCGTGTTTTTCAAATTATTGGTTTTTTGGCCCTGCTTTTTTCTTTCGTTTAAAAATAGTGAATTCTTCGTATTGTTAGTCTCAACTACATCTGTGTAGGTTGGCTGAATTGGAAGCAAATCGATTTGAAGAAGTAGCATCTGGTGGTTTTATACCTCCTGAAAATGAGGTGGTTGCTCAAACCTTTGGGCTTGACCCGTCAAAGTTAGTTGGCTTGTCACTATTTTACATTTCTGCATTTGTTTGTGTATTCATTCAAGGAGGGATATTTTGAAATCATTTAGTCTTATGTGGGCATTGTGTAGCTCAGGAGAACTTTTGATTGGCCTTGGGCTTTTTCTCTTTCTCGCACATTACGTTTTATAGTATACCGCTTCCTGGTGAACTCAGTGGTGGTATCCCAGCCCGATTTGACAGTAGCGGGTATCTTCGGCAACCTAAACGGTATTATAAAAAGAAGGTGACGTTGAGTTATACGTCTTCTTTGTAGTACATTTTTTTATAACGTTGATTAAAGTCGAAGGTTTGATTACTGCAGTATTTCTGAAATGAAAAAAGTTCGGTTTTAATTTGGAAAATCAATAATTTTGTTCAGTTACTTTATAGGTTTCACCGCAATGTCCTTTCTGTGATAAAAGGTATCGCAACGAAGTATCTCTGAAGAAACATTTCGTTAAAAAACATCCCGAAGCCGTTGAATTCGTACAGTGTCTTAAATGTTTTAAAGCAATTAAGTCTTCTGAAGAACTCCCGAAACATCAGTGTGATTTAGTATGTTTCAAACTTTCTACTTCTTTATTCATAGTGTTTGGAACTTATCCACATTCCAAATAACATTTTCATTAAATGATTTTCAGACTTTTATTTGTTTTGAATGCGTTCCCATGCGAAATCTATGCACTGAGTCGAGGCTCCTGAATCACAGGACGAAGTTTCATCGAGGTGCTAATTCTGGTTTTAAATGCAATCTTTGTTCAATGAAATGTCTTACTCCTAGAAAGCTTCGGAAGCATAAGAAAATGGCTCACGTCTTTACAAAGACTTACCAGTGTCATTTTTGTGATGAACTGTTTACGAGCGAAGTTTCTGTAAGTTTTTTTTTGGCTGTTTTTCTTTGGGTTCTAAGGGACTTTTGTAAGTGGTGTTTTTGTAGGTTACTTCACATGAGCGAATTCACACTGGGATCATCAAGTTTGAGTGTCGTATATGCGACTTCAAGTGTAACAGACATGTAAGAATGGAAGAACATCAGAACGAAGAGCACGGGTATATATGTTCGGTATGTCACCATAAATGTGCTGAATGGGGCTCTCTTAAAGACCACACTTTGCAAGAACACGGGGGATATTTGACTTCGGAGTCTAATTCAGGTTTGGTACTTGTGTCTTTTAAAATTTTTGTGCTAACTGTAGAGTTTTTCTGTTTTTATGGAACAGTCATTTTTATCTATGAAAGACGTTTAAATGGCATTTTAAATTGTTTTAGCACGTTTATGCAAAAAGGTGAGTTGAACCAGCTTTGACTGATTTTTCAAATTTTGTTATTTTGTGGTGTGTGATACTTGAAATAACTCGTCTTTGGATAAATAAAGTTATTTTTGCTGCTAGCTTGTATTGATATGTCCGTTATTGGCTGAATATGTTCCATTTAGTTTTGTTTCCTTTTGTTTTTCTTTTGTTCAATATCGCGTTTTAGGTTACATCGATAGTCCGAGGGTATGGGTGATGTACAAGGGCGAATGATACATGTACTAGTTGTTGTATCATTGGAGTTCCTGTCGTCACATTTTCTTATAGTTTTATGATATCTGAAAAACTTGGAGATTTAATTTTTCCATCTACAGCTCTCGCTGTGAAATTTTATTGTGCCTTTCCGAAATGCCTTCGCTGGCTGTTTTGAAGTAGTACTTGAATGCCTGCTGGTAGTTTAGGTGTTTGGAAATTGATGGGTCGATTTGAAAAAGATTCTTAGTTTTTTAAATTAAGTTTGCATTGTGGGTATGTCAAGTACCAATCAGTTTCGATCCTACGAATTAACATTGTTTCCATTAGTTCTTGCTCTAGTTGTGGTTGGAATTCAATAACAATTTACTTTGAGATCGTTACACTAGTAGATGTTTTTTATGCGAAGATCGTCTGAGTTGATAGTTACTTTAAGCCGTTTTCGTAGTAATACGTTAGTGTTCCTTTCAATAGCATTAGTCATTTGAGTTGATAGAGTCGTCGCCCTATCGGTTCCAACGGCATTTTCTTGTTCATTTCTTTTTGCTTTTTTTTTTTTTTTTTAACTTGCTTACGTGTCACTTCTGATCTGACAGAATTCTCTCAAACTCGGTTTTCTCTTTGGTTTTATTTTACCAGTTTTACCGGCACTTGCTTTTGTCCGCATGTTCAGATTTGTACTTCTCATGTTGTTAGTTTGTTAAGTTTTTTGTTGTTAAGAACTTGTCTTCAAGGAAGTCATTGAATGAATAAACCGGCGTTTTTTTTTTTTTTTTTTTTTCTGCAGTGCATGCAGGTGGAAAGGAAAGGTTAGAGGGGAGGGGGAAGAAGTTTTTCTCTTTAGGTTGGTTCGTACCGTGTCTTCGTAACGCCATCGAATTTCTTTGTTTCCTGAGTTGCTGTATGGTGCGGTGTATCAAAATGGGCTTGACTCGATTCGTG